CCTCAGTTTCCTGTCCAGCTCCCTGGCACTGTGTCTAGAGAGCAGCTGGTGATGGCTCAAGTTCTTGAGTCCCTGTCACCATTCGGGAAACCTGATAGGAATTTCTGGTCCCTGGCTTGGGGCTGGCCCACACCTGGCTGTTGTTGGCATTTGGGCAGCACTTGTTTCTTACCACCCCCCACCTCTGCTTTCAAATCTTAAAAGATAGGCCGGCGCCGTGGCTCACTAGGCTAATCCTCCGCCTTGCGGCGCTGCCACACCGGGTTCTAGTCCCGGTCGGGGCGCCAGATTCTGTCCCGGTTGCCCCTCTTCCAGGCCAGCTCTCTGCTGTGGCCCGGGAGTGCAGTGGAGGATGGCCCAAGTGTTTGGGCCCTGCACCCCATGGGAGACCAGGATAAGTACCTGGCTCCTACCTTCGGATCAGCGCGGTGCGCCGGCCGCAGTGCGCCAGCCGTGGCAGCCATTGGAGGGTGAACCAACGGCAAAGGAAGACCTTTCTCTCTGTCTCTCTCTCTCTCTCTCACTATCCACTCTGCCTGTCCAAAAAATTAAAAAAAGAGTGCCCCGGTTCAAGTCCCGGCGTCATTCTAGCCACCCATATGGGAGTCTCTGATGGGGCTCTGGTTTCCTGACTTTGGCCTTATCACCCATCCATGGTTGTGGGTATCAGGGAATGGGAGATCTCTGTATGTCTTGGTGTTACTGCGTTCCCCACACCCCCAAAAAAAGTTCATGGAAAATGGAATCAGGAAATAAGTTTATTTTGTGCAAAAAATTTTAAAATCCATGCCTAGTTTTTTTACATTTCCCATGAACTTTTTGAAGTACCCTCATGTATAATCCTAGATGAAATAACATCTAAGACATTAGAATTAATTTAAGGACATATTTATTTACAAGATAAAAATGTTTAATAGGAATTAAAGTGCTTAATTTTACAATGTTTCTAATTCTCTGCCTTATGACCAAATATACATATGTTACACAGTATATACACTATCTGCAAGTATTTTACATTCATACAGCTAGAAAAGAAATTACTGGTCATGTACACTTCTTCACATTTGAGCCAACTGTAGAATTCTGGTAACACACTTTGCAAATCTATCAGTCAACAGTTCAAAAGAAAAACCCAGGTAACACTCACCAGTCAATTGTCACAACATGAAATGCTAATTTGGTTAAAAAGTTGGATACTATACAGATGTGATTGTTTGGCTAGTGAAGAGACCCCTACTGACAGATACATTCCAATACCCACACACAGTGTAATGTATAATGCAGTCCTGTTAATGCTAATAGTCCCGATAGAGCATTTCTTCCCACATCTACTGTTAAACTCTGTATTGGTAGTATTCTGTTATTGAAATATGCTATGAGATTTCTTGATCTTTTCACTAAGTCTACCACAGCTATAGGGAAAGGGGCAACCCTCCACTTAACTGTCAGTGGCCCCAAGTCGAGAAAAAACTTGAAGATGCCCTGTGCTACTTCATCTCCAGACATAGAAGTGACGGCGCACTCTGCTAAATGCTCAGTCCCGAAAGTAGCCCACGACTGACTGAAGAGTGGTTTCTCTGCCTCAGTCAGGAGAACAGAGAATGGTATAAAAGAATGGAATTCTTCTTAAGCAAAAAGTGATGGAAAAGGTATTGGAAAGATACTGTACTCTATAATTTAGAGGCCAAGGTCAAAAGCATAGGTACAAGGGTCCCCATCCACATACAGCTACATAGATTTCTATTTTTATAGTGTATCTGCCTTCTGCAGTTGAAGGTTTGTCTTCCTCTTAACACAGCACTCTGACCTGAAGAACAGCATTCCTCGTACCCACATCTGTCTTGACCTCATTCCTCGCTACCTTATCTGCAAAGAAAGCAAAGCCATCTTCCTCATGACTAAAGAGAATTGACACAGATAAGGGTAAATTACATATTTCAAGTTCAGGTAAATTATGGTAAAATATTTAAGTTAAAAATTCTATAAAACCTTCATTCCTATGGGAAGAATTGAAAATCAAGTATTTTTACACATATATACACATACAAATTCACAGGGTTTTTAAATTAGACCTAATGGTCTCTATGTATAATACTCATATTCTCTACATCTGGAGAACCATAGCAGATAGTAATATGAAAATAAAGAGCAGTTTGATTTTAATAAAATTGGTAAGAATGAGGAAACAGTATGATCACCTGCAGATGCCAATACAGTCCTAAGAATAGGAACTGGTTAGCCACAGGTCTTTTAATACATTCCTGGAGAATACAGAGTTTAAGAATGAAAACACTGAGATATTCTTGCCTTTTAAATTAATCTTAGCTTATAAATACCATGTGCTTAATCTTAGACCTGCTAAGAACATCATGGATGCAGGAGCTTTACTTAATCCTCTGCTCTGCATTATAGCAAGGATACCTAGAAGAAGAAAACAAAGCAGGACTGTTGTCCCTGAAAGCTTCCTGGTCCTGTTGGTGCCTACTCCTCAGGATATGCATATACATATCCCAGAGAGACCATTACTGTAGATGTATCATGGACAACATGCTCAGATTAAGAACTCAAGGCTTTGGAATGAGATACAAAATGTGAAGGAAAATCCAAAATCAAAACCTTCACCCTGTTTCCTTAGAGACAGAAAAAGTACAGGAGAATTGTGAGCTTGCACAGGGATATTTGATGGAAGACATCGATGAATCCTGAATAACCCTGCAGTACCATTGCTTCTATATTTTTCTTTATTGGTTTATGACTGGAACCACTGCTATTTGGAAGAAATCTAAGTGTGTGCGTGTGTGTGTATGTAATGGGGACAGGGTACATTTAAAAGGAAAGTCAGGTAATTTTTAAAACTGGAGGATGGGTCATCCAGTGAAGAGTCAGTACGCCAACCCTTTTGTCTATTTAAACGGCATGGCCCCAAAATGCAGCTTGATCAGGTAGTTCCAGTTTGCTTTGCTTCTGTGTCCATAGCCTTTGCAAAGGTAAAAATGTTTCTAATTATTTAATTCCAAGAAATGATACCCCCTTCCACTCACCCTCTATTTCCCTTCCCTGTATTCAGCAATTTGAATTATTATACGAGAAAGGTAATTCTATATATACGTGTGCTAGTATAAAACCATACCCTGAAGAGTTTTATTGCTTGCATACACAATGGCACTGTAGATGCCATCATTACAAAAATGGCTGGTGGCATTCTTCATTATTGAGCCCCACTGAGAAAGTTTGATAACATACCACATGGTTGATTTTCCAGAAAAGCGAAGTTTAAGTTTAGAAAACAGTGTTTTGTAATGAGACGCAGTCTCACCCAGGAAGTATTTTTTAACTTTGGAGTGGGACTTTGAATTTAGAAAAGCAACCACTGTTCTTTTTCAAGTTCAAGTTGGTGTGACTGCTCGGGCGTCTCAGAAGGGAAAGACGCTGCATGTCTTCCTGACCAGTCTCACTGGAGGTCTTTAGTTTGTGTCAAAGTGTTTCACTACCTCGGCCCCAGTGAAAGCATTAGTGATTCTTCACCAGGGGAAATGGCGACTGCGGTTCCTCTGCTAACCTGAAGTTCTTCGCAGGTACTGAAATTTCTTCATAGAAAAAGAGAGGTGGACGTTGTGGTGCAGCAAGTTAAGCCCCTGCTTGGGATGCAGAGAGAGAGAGAGAGAAAGGTCTTCCTTGGCCGTTGGTTCACCGTCCAATGGCTGCCGCGGCCTGCGCACCGCGCTGATCCGATGACAGCCCAAGTGCTTGGACCGATTTTAAAAAAGAATTACAGATAATGTTGAGCACAATAATAAGTATTGTCTTTATATGAGTATAGCAGAGAGCTGGCCTGGAAGAGGGGCGACCGGGACTAGAACCCGGGGTGCCGGCGCCGCAAGGCGGAGGATTAGCCTAGTGAGCCGCGGCGCCAGCGCTCTCCATTACTTTTTAAAAATGATCACTCATAAACCTTGTAATTAGCCCAGATACTTCCAAGTTCTAGCTTCCCCTGATAATCATTCCACGTCATTATTGGTTGAGATTAAGAAAACCAAATCATCATTGATAGCTGCAGCTTAACTTTCTCCATAGCCACTCTGAACACATGAGTATCTCTCACTGATGCCCACTAGACACACACACACAGAAAAGACTGGCAAGCAGAAGAGAAATAATGTCAAATTTCTATAAGCCTGCTCTTGATTTGCTAGGACTACCTTTCTCTCTCTCTGGCTCCAGGTATTTGGTTTAATGTTAATTATCTTGATGGCATTCCTTCTGTGGAGAAGCAGACAGTCATGCTGTCAGCCATCACTGGTTCACCTGCTCCTTTGGAGTGGGGAAAAAACACGAGCATAAGTCTTAAAGCAGTAGGGGCTAAGTAAATGTGTGGGGTCTCAAATGCTGAGTACACCTAGATTTTTGTGGATTTCTAGCAGATGGATGTACAAATGGGAGAAAAGGATTAAGATAAACAGTTAACTTAATACCACAGTTAAAGCCCAAGTACAGTGTGAAGAGCAGCCTTCGCGACAAAATTAAACTTTTTTTGATCCACAAAGGGGAAACATTTCTCACTGTCCAGGCACTTGGACCTCTCAGAAGGCTGCCCTTAGAATGGTGCCTTTTCAATACTGTGTTTCCCCTGTCTCCTCTCTGGTGAGGAGACTGGATATCACTGTCCTGCACTCCCGATCTGCACTGCGCACCCAGACACAGCTTGGGTATGTGGATCTTGTGAAACGTCTGACAGGGGACTGGCCCGCACGGTTACCGAGAGTAGTCCTCACAAACCGATCTCCGCAGTCTCCTGGCACGGGAAACCCTTCCAGCAAACGGAGTTTTCACACGTCTGTCCTAAGGCCTCACGTCTTCGACAGTTCGGGTTTTGGTGAACCTTTTTGTACATGTTGATCTTAACTACTGCGCCAATTACAGGATTGTAAAAGATAACCCATGACTCGGACCATCCCAGTAACGAAAACACAACTGAATTTCAGAATAATCAAGACTGAAGCAATAGTAAACCCGTGTATTCTATTATTTTAACAGGTATTAATAGCACCTTCTAAGAGAGGCACTGTTTTAGAGAGACACATAACAGACATACAGCACCCTAAAAATACTGTTGGGGGTGTTTGTATATATCTCCCATGCCACATAAGTTACTGCTTTTTCTTAGGAAATTAGTAATACCCTTCAATTCCAATCAGGAAAACATCAATCACTAGAAACACATTTAAATTTAGCACACTGCTCAGTCTCAAGATAAAACATGCTTTATATTAAAAAAATAAATTAGAGATAAGTATGAACCTAAAGCTGAGGAGGTATGGGGGGGTGCGGGTGTATATGTATATATGCTGAAATTTAATACTATATACACATAATTGCTATGTACTTCATACATGTTTGCCTAGAAATACTAAGACAGTATCTTATCCTACTAAGTTGAAGGTCTGAACACCAACAATTTGTCCTTTTTCTCTTGTTTTAAAAGGACAAATCATCTATGCAGCTTGAGATTTATCAACTAAATAAGTTAATACAGTAGCCTAAACTGTCCCTGTATTTTTCACCATAGATCTATTTTGGCAACATGGAGGTATATCTTTCAAACTCTAACAGATCCTATGTGTGAAAGAGAAGATGTGAAAGGATTTCTTAAATGAAAGTGGCCCATTCTAACTTGATAACGGTGTAATCTACTGATACCCTCTTCTTCAAGACAAAAGTACATAATCAAGAAATCTCTTTAAAAATTCCATTTTTCACATTATTTCAAAACTTTATCAGGAGAACGGCTCTGCACATTAATTTCACTAAGAGTACATAAACATAGGAAAATAGTCCCCCGAGATGCATTTGTGAGCCTCTATTTCCAACATAAAGTGCTAAGAGATGAGGAAGGAGAGCTGGGAATGTCTTGGGCTGTAAGTCTTGAGACCCCCCACACTGTGGCCGGTCCAGAGTTCAGCAGTCTGATTTTCTCTTGGGTTCAGGATGATCATCCATGGTGGCTAGATGTTCACTGGGACCATCTGGAGTCTCACCTTTGACAGCTAAAAAGATGATTTTTAGCCACTTCTGTTTCAGTTCCTCGCTATCTGCAGCAAAACTGTGCACAGATTTGGACTGGGTCAGTTTGAAACTGTGTGGCAGGTCTGCACTCCTTGGCAGGTCGTCCACGACGTAGCCCAGGAGGGGAATGGTGGTCTGTGCTCGGACGTCCTAAGGGGAAAACACAGAGCATGAGGTGTGTGAGCTCGCCGTGCATGGCCCATGCTCCCTGGGGTGGGCATTTGCCATGCAGTTGGGACACCGGCACCCCGAATCGGGGTACTGGGGCTCTGCTTCCTTCTGCTACTGATTGCAGCTTCCTGCTAGTGTGCTCACTGGGAGTCAGCAGGGGCTGGCTCAACTGGTTGGGTCCTTGCCACCCACGTGGGAGACCTCGCCTGAGATTCCAGGCTTTGACTTGGCCCAGCCCAAGGTATTGTGGGCATTTGGGGAGTGAACATGTAGATAGGAGACCTCTGTCTCTCTGCCTTTCAAATACATAAAAATGAAATGATCCTCTGTTCCTACCACTGCCCCCAGCAGCCTCTCATTGTGACTCTCCATGGGCGGAGGGTACCCAGTGTGCCTGTACATGAGGCTGCGGGAGTAAGTGGAGAGCTGACCCCCAAGTGAGCTCGAGTCTACCCTCTGTGCTCTGTGAGGGACCCCATCCAGCTCTCCATAGTGGAACAGGGAAGAAAGTAAGAGCTCTCTGAGTACATAAAGTGTACCAAAAGTAGTCTTGTTTGCTCATTCATTCATTCATTATGCAAAAAAAGTATAGAAAAAAATACATACTGTAGCATTTGTAGTCAATGCAGACACAGGCTAAAATGCTATATATACACAAACTATTTTCATAATTTACTTAAGTGGTGATTAAGGACAATGTAACTCAGTACCTGATGCTGCTCCTGTTAGAAGCTAAGTCTACTTACCAGTTCCTTTAGATTTACCTCAGACCTATACACATAATTCTCAAAAATTGCTAGTGAAACATGTTAATTGAAGATTGATTTAAATGCCTTCTCTAAAACTGCCCTTTCCCAGCATGCATCCATAGAGTAAAACACAAGCAAAAAAAAAAAAAAAAAAAAAGCCAGGGTGAAAGAGATGGAAATAGATCTTCCATCCACTGGTTCACAACCCCAAATGGCAGCTAGGTCAAAGCGACAAGCAGAGATTTCCATCCAGATCTTGTAAATGTGCACCAGGGAGTTAAGTACTTGAGCCATTATCTACTGCTTTCCAGGTGCAGTAGCAGGGAGCAGGATCTGAAGCAGAGTAGCCAGGACTCAAACTGGTGTCTACAGTATGTAGTTACAACCTGCTGAGACAGGTACTCCCACCTGCCACCCTCACTCACCCAGCCTTTTCTCAAACCACAGGACAGGGCCGAGAGGGGAAAAGGGGCCCCATGGACCTCAGAATAAAGAAGTGGCTGCTGTGAGGAGGAACCAGCCTACACTAACTGCTTCTTCTTTTCCAGTCAGTGACAAAGAGAAGCTGCCTGAGCTTTCCTGTTCCACAGAGGGGCAACGAAGGGGTCTGACCCATCCTCTCGCCTCCCTCCGTCCCGTCAGGTAGGTGTGCTTAGGATACCTGGGGGGCCCCGTACATGTACAGCACGAGAGGGTCTTGCTTGGGGATCACACACCAAGCTTTCTGCCAGGGTTTTGACTTCTCCATGTACTGAAGAAAGCTGCACACCACGCTGTTTCCAGATACTTCTGCAGATTCGATCTAGAAAAATAAAACAGGGCGAGAGAATTCACCTTGTGGGAAATACTTACCAAGTGCACTGTGACTAGATCAAATGTGTCCTTGGATTCTCCAAGAAAAGATTCATTTGCAATTAGTATTTAAACACACTATCACACAGAGAAATACTCAAACTATGACTATGCCTTGAATTTAAATAGATAAAACGTTTCTTGACCGCTTACTGGGCAGGTATTTTTCTTATCTCAATGTTCTATGTCACTTAATTCCCACTGCAACACTGAGAAATCACTAATTGCAATATCTTTGAGGGACAGGGTTTAAATACGAGAATAGACCCACATGTTGAAAAATAAGTGTACTATGGTCCAAAAAGTTTTTCAAATTCAAGCAAACAAGGAATCCTCAAAAACTTTGTAAGAAATGCATGTTAAGAAAAATGCATGATTTCAAAAGTTGATTTTGTTACAACATTTAATTGCATTTTCCCTGAACCCTAATTAGAAAACTAGCTAGAGATTTTTATTTCAGAAATACAGCCTGAAAACTCACCTTCAAAACAAGTTGTCTGACTCAGGATATTGCGCCTGAGGAGTTGCTGCTACTGACTGCAGGGACGGAGGGAGTTCCTGGGGGCAGTGAAGCCTGCCTTTGACCTGCTGTCCAGGCAACACCCACGCCAGGAGAATTCAGCATGAAACTTCTCAATTCTGGGCCTACAGTTAAACCTAACGGACCTTGAAGTTCAACGGAAAAGACTGAGGTACACTTAAACGGTATATATGCTCCCTAAAACACCTACTGGCAGTTTAAAATTCTGAAACCAAGTAGGCCTGGGACTTCAGACCCATAGAATTTTGATCCTGTGCCTGTTTTTCAGACTGCAAGCTACTATGAAATTACTGACAAAATGGCCTGAAGTTTAATATCTCTGGATATTAAACTTATTTTAGATATAATATACTCTAGTTCCTTGGAATGGGGGTATGAATTTATTTTAAATTGTGAGTCATATGTACTTGAGGCACCTGAAAATATTTCAATGCAGTCTTCAGATTACTGTCACTATTAAATGACCATAATAAATAACGAGACTTTTAAAATGAATTTTTTTAGGTAATAGTACTTCAGATTAGAAGAATATCACGCAGTGCTTTAAAATTCAGAGAAAATCTATAAAGAAATATATTCTTGGCATTAGGAAAGATGCCAATTAATACTCCAATATTTGGCTAGGGCTACCACCACAAACATCAATATATTTCATTCACAAATGCTGTTGGTTTAACGTTATAAAGCCAGATCAGATCTCAAAAGTCAGCAATACAGAACAAAACTGTGAATCTTGGTTTTTAACACAGTTTGGGTAAAATAACAAAGAGAAATAATAATTTGTATTCCTCATGGTAAAGAGTTCTGTATGCTGTTTATATAAGAATCTAAAATATAGCCAATATTTAACATTTCCTACCTCTAAAATTCCTCTCCTCTTCTTTTCTTCACTGTCTGTGAATCCACTGATTATTAGATAACAGTCTTTACAGACTTTGCTCAGTTTACCACCATCATACTCGAGCTGAGCTTTGTAGTCGGAACACTTCCAACAAACCACCTTAAATTGAAAAGAAGGGTAAAGAAGAGTGACTATGATAACAACACTTCCTCAGGTGCAGCTGCTGACTTCTTATGCACTCAGTGTAGACGGCAGCTGTGTATCAGACTAAGTGCATCCCCAGAACCAGGGCGTCGCGTGGAGCTGCTGCAGTGCGGCTGCGCTGGGCTCTGTCTGCTCCCGCGTCCTCCGCACCCCGGCCGGCCTCCGGAGGAGCAGCAGCGTCTGAGGCTGCAGCAGGCGTCGGCTCTTCAGAATTCCGCATGCCTCATCGCTGACCTCCCCAAGAGAGCGCACACTTCCCGGCCCCCAGGGCTCTCCTTATCCACCTCACCCTGCTTACAGCAGGGACCTTCCCAGCCCCTCTGGCCACCTCACCGCTTCATCGCATTCCAAGTCCCCAGTGTCTGTCACCTAACCTCGGGCCCGGGTTGGACCGCTTCTTCAGCTGTGTGTCAGGTCCTTGCTGCCTGCCAGGCTTCTCTCTCGCCTCCCTCCAAGCAGCAACCGTATGTTCTTTGAAAAACGCTACTCTGCTACGTTCCTCTTCTATTTAGAATCCTTCGGGTTTCCCTTTATTCTTGGGGTTGCGGAGACAGCAAGCTAAGTCCAGTGTGACTCCTCCTCTGCCCACTTGCCCCCGCTGCTGTCTTCTCTGACAGTTGATCTTGCACCCACTCCAGCAGGGCCCTGCCCCTTCTTCTCTCACCTCTACTTTGAAATTGAGCTTGCTCCTCCCGCATATGTTGACTGAAATCTCATTTCCTCCAGGAAGACTCGTCCAAGTGCATGCTAAAATTCACTGTATTAGTTCATAAAAAGTTATTTATTCAGGGGCCGGTGCTGTGGCGTAGTGGGTAAAGCTGCCACCTGCAGAGCCAGCATCCCAAATGGGTGCTGGCTCAAGTCCGGGCTGCTCCACTCCCGATCCAGCTCTCTGCTACGGCCTGAGAAAGCAGGGGAAGACCCAGCTGCAGCCATTTGGGGAATGAACAGGCAGATGGACAGTCTCTCTATGCCTTTCAAATAAATCTTTAAAAAAAGAAAATCATGCAGAGAGAGATTTCCTACCCGTTGGTTTGCTTCCCAAATGCCTACAATGGTGAGGGCTGTGCCAGGCTGAAGCAGGAGACCAGGACTTGAATGCAAGTCTCCCGTGTGGGTGACAGGGACCCCCGTACTTGAGCCATCACCTGCTGCCGCCTGGGGTACACAGTAGCAGGCAGCTGAGGTCCTGATTGTATGGTTTCTAAAAACAGACTCATGCGATTACTGGATTGTTTCTCTCTCACCCTTGGCCATCAATCTCCAGGAGAGATTGTCCTTGAGTGTTTTGCTCACCAAGCATGCAATAAACATTTTGAGCAAGTATGAATCAAGTATGTATTTTTTCTCCACAGTATATTTCCCTATTATAAGGTAATTGTTTATCCTCTCCTAACCCCAGTTTGTAGAGGCCCATATAAGCCATGTCGTAGGAAGTTTGTTGACTGAAGGCAACTGTGTAAATAGTAGAAATCATTTCAAGCCAATGCAAGGACAGACTGTGAATGTTCTACCCTGAGAGAAAAGATGTCTGCTATCCATTTCATTATGATCTGAAACCTGCCTTATTAGTTTTAGGGAAAAAAGAATAAATCTTCAGTACAAGGAACAATAAGCTAAAAGAACAATCAATAAAAATTGCCTTAGACATATCAAAAACATAGGGAGGAGTCCTCAAAAAGTTTATGGAAAATGCCTGTTATTAAACTGTGAAAACTATGCATGGATATCAAGATTTTTGTGCCAAAACAAAGTATCTTTGTTTTTTGTTTTTTTTTAATGTGAAACCATGCCATTTGATTTGCTGGTTCAGTCACCCAAATGGCCAAAACAGCTGGAGGTGGGCCAGGCTGGAGCCAGTTCACTGGGTCTCCTACATGGGTGGCAGATACTGGACTGCGATCCAGTGCTTTCCTAGTTAGAGTAGCCGGGAGCTGGATCGAAAGCAGAGCAGCCAGGACTGTAGGTGGCACTGTGATACAGGATGCCAGCATCCCACATGGTGGCTTACCATGCTTCACCACAACACGAGCTCCAAAACAAACATCTTTGAAGGCCATTTTCCATGAATTTCTTGGAGTACTCTTATGTCTGAATATACAACACTGTAATCCTATGGTTCTGGGGTTACTCAAGCCTTTAGGAGAAAGGACACAAGCCACGTGCCACTGCCTGTCTCAGCCTGAGTGCATGCTCCTCGCTCTTCCCGTGGGAAACTCAGCTCCAGGGCCAATCAGCCCACGATCAGCTTATGCTTAGATGCAGCAGCATGGCTTTTAAATGTTACCTGTGGTATTAAGTATTAGTGAACTGGCAATTGGATAAGGAACTTGACGTACATTGCTACACCCCAAAATAAGATGCAATGAATACATAAAAGAAATGCTGTGAGCTGAAATAGTAGTGGTAAGTGAGTAAGGCCAACTCAAAGTTTCAGCTGGACAATGCTGGCGTTTGGAAAAGGGCCTAAGAAAGAACCCAGTATAAACCCACAGTTAGAAATGATCAGTGATCTCAGGAAGTAAGCCACCATGAACTAGAATTAATTTGAAAAACTAAAGTTTTGGAACTAAAGATTTGGAAGGAAAACCGATTTGAAAACTAAAAATGAAGGCGCAGGATGGACCTCTGTGGGGTGCCCGGCTTTTGTCCCGGCTCCACTGCTTTCGCTGTGGCTTCCTGCTCCCGTGCCGGGGAGGAGTATCAGCAATACCACCGAGATTCTCAGGGCACAGCAAGCCCCAGGCAAACAGCAGACACCACTCATCACGCCTCGGTTCCCCAGAGACGGCCCAGACGCCTCATATGTAGGTGAGTCGCGCTCAGTCCACCATCTGCCCTCGGAAGCTCTGCTCCGGACGTTCAGGCTCTTCTCAGAACCAGAGGCCCCTTAGCCTCTCATCTCACCTCTGAGAGCTGGGGGTTGGAGGCTCTCACTCTGCTCTTGCCTACAAAAGCTGCTGGCACTGCCCAGTTCTCTGCCTCCCCCGCCTGCCCCTATTCACGCACTGGAGAGTCTATACAATGGATCACGGTTCTCCAGTCTACCACCATGCGGGCTCACGTAAACATGCACATGACTCTGACGTCGCAGGCAGTCAACCATAGCTGTCCATTCCTGTGGACACCCACGGTGTCACCACCAGAAAATGAATCACATCTGCCAGGCCAAGCTCAAACATCTCGTCAACATTTCTAACTCGCTTGTTAGAACGTAAACATGACCATACATTTTTGAAGTTACAAAGTTCAAACCAACACCCTCTCTCCCACCAAGTCTAGACTTCCCTTACTCATTACAGTCTGATTCAAATACCTCTCCTATTGTCTTCTCAAAAATGATGATTTTTCAGTGGCCATTGGTTCTCTCATCAACTTGCTAATGCCACTTTTCCCCTTACTCATCTCACTCCTGCCCCAGAACTTTCTGGCAGACTCAGAACAAATCAGCCTCACTCTGGAATACTTAACATACTAATATTTAAAAGATTGATTATAAGATTTTACTGCAGAATGGCAGAGATCTTCCATCTGCTGGTTCACTTCCCAATGGCCCACATCAGCTGAGGCCGGGTCAGGCTAAAGGCAGGAGTCTGGAATGCCATCCCGGTCGCCCAGTGCGGTGGCAGGGGCCCAAGCACCTGCACCACCTTCAGCTGCAATCACCGGGGCATTAACGGGGACCAGGATGGTAAGCGGAGCAGCCAGGACTCAGACTGGTGCTCCAGATGGATGCCGATGTCGCCAGCAGCAGCTTCACCTGCTGTGCCAGAAGGCCCGCGCCCACTGCCTCCCACCTTAGGATTTGCTCTCTCTCACCGCTTCAGCCTAAGCTTAAGTACCGACCCTGCAGTCAGGTATTGCTTTTTCTCATTAGATTCGGTTCCAAATCTTCCTCTACTACTAATCCTCTCCGTCTTCACGGCTGATTGCTTTCTTACTCCATCTGTAGTAGTGTGAAACTCTTCTCTCTAGGGTGCTGGCTGTGTGTTGCTTACACACTTACTGAGGACCTCCGTGACCAAGAAAGCCCACTCACATGTCCACATGCTCGGCAGTGATGCCTTCTCCTGGTCAGCGCGTTGAAGGACTCCTTACATTTCATACACATGGTCACTTCGTTGTCTCGGATCCACCTGGGGGCTCTCTTCCCCAGCTCAGCAGTCTGAAAGAGAGAAAGACTCAGTTCTAATAGACAAGCAACAGTCCCACCCGACTATTTTTTAAAACCACTTTAATAAGAATACTTCAGTTGCATTCTCAAACTGAAGATCCAGTAAAAGAAAAAAGGTTGAATGAATTTGAGCAGTCACTAGTGTATTCATTTAAAAAACCATGAGACTCTGCCTAAGTAGTTCTGGCACGGCCAGGGGAGAAGGTTTCCTCCAACTGCAAAGAGGAAAAAAAAACCTTAAAAGTATTTAACTCAACTTACAGAAACCTCGGAGTGGATGTCGTTATCCTTTGCAATTGCGTTTCTGAAGGTTTCATGCCTTTGATGAAAAGCATCCACAGTCTCTTGCAGGGCCTGAAATTCACAGGACACATTAGAGTATCTATCCATGCAGACTGCTGAATCTACTCTACATCAGGTGGGAATCACCTTAGAAATTAAGCCAGCTTGTTCTGATGACTATTTGACACAACAGTATGAGTATCTTCATTTATGTATTCGCTTACAGACAGACAGCACTGAAGACAAGAAAGAAATCAGGCTTACCTTGATCCATTCTTCTTTGTCTTGCTCAGAACTAAAAACACAACAAAATTAAAGTGAGTGCAAGGGACATTAATGAATTACACTTGGTAAATAAAAATATGCTTTCGAGTTGTTTGAACATCCCAAAAAATTCAGACATGCCCTTCAAGTTATTACAACCCAAATTAAAAATGATCTTGGGTGGCTGTGGTATAGTGGGTTAGGCTGCATCTACAATGCTGACATCACATAGGGGCCAGTTCAGTTCCCAGCTGTTCCACTTCCATCCCAGCTCTCTGCTTATGTGCCTGGGAAAGCAGAGAAAGATGGCCCCGGCACCCACGTGGGAGAGCCAGATGGAGTTCTGGGCTCCTGGCTTCAGGCTGGCCCAGCCATGGCCATTGGGCAATTTGGGGAGAGAACCAGCAAATGAGACAATGTCTCTCCCTGTATCTAATTCTGCCTTTCAAATAAAAAATTAATGTCTTAAAATTACTGGCAACTGAACAAGTCAGTTTAGACAGAGGTTCACGCTATCTACTAAATTTGGTACACGTGCATTTTGATAAGGAGACATGGGTTTGGCTTCTGTTACTATATACTGCCCCTCACCCTGGTTAACAATCAGAATCTAACCATATATTCCAGGGGCTTTGTGTATCTCAACTAGTATAAATATAGAAAAGTACAATTTCTGAAAACAAATGAAGGCTATTAAAGGCTGCTAATCACAGCCCATCTTTAAAAAGGTTATAATTATCCTACAGAATCTAAAATATCTACATAAGGCCTTAGGGAGCAATTTAACATTTCCTGTGATAAACAGTTTAATTTTCTTATTCCTGGATGGTCAGGCAATGCCATTCCTAACCCATTATAGATAAACAAAACACAACATTTTTAAAGGCCTGCAGGAGAGAGGCTTCACAGATTAGTGGATCCTCCTAGCATTTAGTATTATCCTTAGGGACTGACTACAGTCATGTCTCTCTGTCCTATTAATGCAAATTTCCTTCATTTCTTTTCCCTGGTGGTGGCGGGGACAAGGGCTGCTGTCACATGCTGTCTCTGTCACATCTCCTTTCCTGGGCCCTCAGCTGGTAACACCTCCAAGAGTGGGCTGTTTGCATACGTTTCACTAGCCAGAGCCAAGGCTGACTTCCAGCCAGAGTGTCTCCTGCCTCATTGCCATATATGTTTTTAAAACCTTTGTTTTCAAGTCCGATCCCATCCCCTGGCTCACTTCCCAAATGCCTGTAACAGCCATGGCTCTAAAATGGGCGGCAAGGACCCAAGTACGAGCCATCTGCCGCCTCCCAAGGTGCACCTTAGCAGGAAACTGGAAGCCAGGACTCAAACCAGGCCCTGTGGTAATGGACTGCCAGTGTCCACCACCGCACCAAGTGCCCGCCCCTCCCCTGGGGTTCCCATATGCGTGAGATTAGCTGGACGTCTGTTCCTGGAACACCGTCCATCTTCCCAGCAAATTTGCTGAGTGCCATGGTGTGCCTGAAATCTGTGCCTGTACAGGGAATATACTGCTTGTGGTCCACCTGCGTGCTTCAGTGTTGCCCCTCAAAAAGAAAAAGGGGGCGGGCGCTGTGGCAAAGGGTTTAGCTGCTGTTTGCACTGCCAGCATCCCATGTGGGTGCCATTTCGAGTCCTGGCTGCTCCACTTCCGATCCAGCTCCCTGCTGATGTGCCTGGGAAAGCAACATCAAATGCCCCAATTGCTTGTGCCCCTGCACCCTGCGGGAAACCCGGAAAAAGCTCCTGGCTTTGGCCTGACAGAGTCCCAGCAATTGTAGCCATTAGGGGAGTAAATCAGTGGAGTAAGACCTTTCTCTGTCCTTTCAAATAAATAAAGAAATCTTTAAAAAGAATTTAAAAAGTGGACACAGATGCCCTGGGAGCACAGTTTGCATATTATCACTCTGAAATATGACAAGCCTTTTATGCTCATTTTTTAGTCATGCAGGCCTTTAAAATTTTTGTCTTAAATGCTTTGTTTTTAGTTTCCATTTAGCAATGAAAACCACTGAATACAAACTACGAAAAAAATTACTTTTCCTCCTTCAGAAGGTAGACAAGTAAGCAAAGTGAGTAAGTCAGTGCTAAGGCTGACTCATACCTCAGCAAGAAAATTGGACCCTTTTCTTCCCCGACTTGGCTGCAAAAGCGTCTCAAATAGACACCCAAATTTCAGTTGCATGCAATGCCTCTGACCCTGTTTCTTCCCTGGACCTAAAAGGTTTGTGACCATTCTCGAGAGAGCCATGGTGGACCCAATGGAAATCACTAACGACTCACTACAGGTCTTCAGCAATACCATTTAACCTAACACAACTAGAGCAGTGAGAAATGCAATGACTATGTTTCCAGTATTAATTTGAATGATTATGATACACTGTACTGGGATGTAGTAAAGTGCTACCTATACTTGAGAAAAGGCCTGGGATGGGCACGTGGAGCAGAAGGTTGAACTGACAGCTGCGGAATATGTATATGTGTGTGTGTGTGTGTGTGTGTGTGTGTGTGTGTGTTGCTCTGCCTCCCAAACAAAAAGTAAAGAAAAAATTTCTGAAGTAGGCATTGCGAAAAGCTGGTTTAAGGCACTGTTTGTAACACCAGCATCCCATATCAGAGTGCTGGTTCAAGTCCCACCTTCTTTGCTTCTGATGCTGTTTCCTACTGATGTGCCTGGGAAGCCAGTCGAAGATGGCCCAACCACTTAGGCCTCTGCCATCCGAGTCAGAGACCAGGCTGGAGTTCCTGGCTCTTGGTCCGGCCTGGGACCTTCTCTGGGACCCTGGGGTGTGTGCTCTCAGCCCTGGGATCTGCACAACACTCCAACCCGGGACCTTCTCCGGGACCCTGGGGTGTGTGCGCGCTCAGCCCTGGGATCTGCACTCAACACTCTGACCTGGGACCTTCTCCGGGATCCTGGAGTGTGTGCTCTCAGCCCTGGGATCTGCACTCAACACTCCGACCCGGGACCTTCTCCGGGATCCTGGGGTGTGTGCTCTCAGTCCTGGGATCTGCACTCAACACTCTGACCTGGGACCTTCTCCGGGATCCTGGGGTGTGTGCGCGCTCAGCCCTGGGATCTGCACTCAACACTCTGACCCGGGACCTTCTCCGGGATCCTGGGGTGTGTACACGCTCAGCCCTGGGATCTGCACTCAACGCTCCGACCCGGGACCTTCTCCGGGACCCTGGGGTGTGTGCTCTCAGCCCTGGGATCTGCACTCAATGCTCTGACCCGGGACCTTCTCCGGGATCCTGGAGTGTGTGCTCTCAGCCCTGGGATCTGCACTCAATGCTCTGACCCGGGACCTTCTCCGGGATCCTGGGGTGTGTGCGCGCTCAGCCCTGGGATCTGCACTCAACACTCCGACCCGGGACCTTCTGCAGAATCCAGATTTGCAGGATGCCAGGCCTTTGCAGGGTAAACAGGTGACTGCTCCTGGAGCAGTTCCATGAAAACCTGACAGCACTCTGTCTTCCAGAGGTTTCTGTGTGAGGAAGCTGGGATCGCCTACACTGGTTCTCATGTTTTTGTTCAGCCCCAGCATGGCTGAGCTAGAGGAGTGTCACCCAGCACGCTGGTCCTTTCCCACTCCCTCAGAAAAGCATTATTTTCAGCCATGCCTTGGCAGTGCTGCTGGCCAGGGGCTCCCTGAGCCCCAGATCCCCTTCGCGTGGCCTCCAGCTGTGCCAGGAAAACCCTTACCTTTACCACGCCACCTCCTCAGCAACACTGTCTTCAAAATACTCCTGAGACGCCAGCCTATGAAAGACTCCCAGCTCAGCATGGACAAATAACCAGTGACACCCATTTGCGGACAAATAGGGTGACAGAATGCGGGAGGACTAGAAAGAACTGTTTCCTACAATTCTCAAGATGTTGGCTTCATTGCAACAAATTGACGCTGAGTGCCTAAAAATTCCCAACATTCAACCAATTGACTGAATGCTACTGTCCGCAAACCACGACCCCAGCCTTTGTGCTGCAATCAACAGAGGTTCCTGCCTTTGACAGGCTCCCAGCTCTCCACGTGCACCCAACCAGATTCCCAGCGACCTGCGGCAGCAGCTTAGGAAAAGCCACCACGTTTGCAGAAGGCTGTGTGATGGGGACGTCCCTTACCTGGCCTGCAGTTCCAGTGTTCTCTCCTTCCCAGACACTTGGAAAGTGTGCGGATATTCTTCATTGTGCGTCTCTACAATTTTCATCCCATCAATGCCAACCCTGGTTCGAACGGTGAATTTAGAGCCCACCAGGCTGAATCGGGGCACGCAGTAGAGCAGCATGTTGTTGAACTGCAAGGAAGCCGAATGCCTATCAGCTGTCAGGATGAGGGAAAGTCAGCCATGATCCCGAGTAGCCCTGGACAGGAACGCTGTGGAATGTGCAGGGCTGTGCTACTTGTACGTGAGCATGAACATCAACTGCAACTTTGAGATCTTATGCTTCTATTGACAATCTTCACATCCCTAAATTTTTAAAGCTGCGTTTCCCTTTCACAGGTCAAATATTTTATTGAAATTTATGTTAGCCACCCATGATTTTGTACTCATGTTTTAAGGACACTCGTTCAGTAGTTACCCCTGCAGTACCAGATGCACCAGGAAATGAAGTTCTTACCCTTGCAAGTTCAAGTTCTTATACTCCAAAATTTCTAAATGTGTTTTAAGGGCAAATCTAAAACAGCTGTTAAAAAAATTAACAATTATTTTTTACCACTGGGTTTATCATCAAGTTTTTAAAAAATACACACTTGAGTCGTTTGAACATCATTAGAACCTGTCAAGTTGGCACACTGAACCTGATAGCCATGGGTCCGGCGCTGTGGCATAACAGGTAGAGCCACCGCCTGCACTGCCAGCATCCCATATGGGCGCTTGTTGGAGTCCCGGCTGCTCCTCTTCTGCTCCAGCTCTCTGCTATGGCCTGGGAAAGCAGTAGAAGATGACCCAAGTCCTGAGCCCCTGCACCCACATGGGAGACCTGGAAGAAGCTGCTGGCTCCTGGCTTTGGATCTGCACAGTTTTGGCCGTTGTGGCCAATGGGGGAGAGAAGACCTCTCCTCTCGGCGTAACTCTGACTTTCAAGCAAATAAATAAAATGAGCCACATGCCTAAGACTTCCGTCATGTACTCGATCACAGAGTTCAAGGATTATGAATAACTGGATCTAGCTTAAGAATTTAGCATATACATTCTGAATTCAAAGAAAAGCCCACCGTTTTATCAAGAGCTCTCTAAAGACAGGGCCTTATTACTTACAAGAACTACTTTTAAAATGAAGAACTATAAGGGCCGACACTGTGGCGCAGGGGTTAATTCACTGGCCTGAAACGCCAGCATCCCATGTGGGCACCAATTCGAGACCCAACTGCTCCACTTCTGATCCAGCTCTCTGTTATGGCCTGGGAAAGCAGTGGAAGATGGCCCAAGTCCTTGGGCCCCTGCACCCGCATGAGGGACCCAGAGGAAGATACTGGCTCCTGGCTTCAGATCGCACAGCTCCAGCCATCGTGGCCAATTGGATGGAGGACCTCTCTCTCTGCCTCTTTATCTCTAACTCTTTCAAATTAATAAATATTTAAAATTTAAGAACTGTATTTTGAAATACAAATTATCTACAGTGTCTCATTTCTGATTTATTTATTTACTTAAGAGGCAGATATATATATATATAGAGAGAGAGAGAGAGAGAGCGCGCGCGCGCGCGAGCGAGCCTGTCACATGCTATATATGAACTCTCAACTGCTGGTTCACTCCCTAAATGGCCACAATGGCTAGGTTGAGGTTAGGCTGCAGCCAGAGGGCTGGGAACATACTCCAGGTCTCATATGGGCTCAATAACCCAGTTATTTAAGTAGTCACTGCTGCCTCCCAAGTCAGTTCCTTATTTTTAATCAACAAGAAACAGCCCTTGCTAACCAGGACTATGAAAGATGTTATGTGAGAAAGCCAAAAGTTCATTTTCAGTGACTTTGTGAAAACAATTTAATTCATTTTTGAATATGCTGAAACAAGGGATTAGACTAAATATTTGGGTTAATTTGTGAGATTACCAGATGGACCATACTTCTTACTTAATATTCTTTTTTTTTTTTTTTTTTTGAAAAAAGAGGTTTGTTTTTATCTACTTAAAAAAAGCAGAGAGATCTTCCATCTGCTGGTTCATTCCCCAAATGTCCCCAGTAGTCAGGTCTGGGCCAGGCAGAAGCCAGGGACCAGGAACACCATCCGGGTCTCCCACCTGGGCGGCAGGGGCCCAGGTACATGAACCATCAGATGCTGCCTCCCAGGTACAGTGGAAGGGTGCCAGGTCCCAAGAAGAGAAGCTGATATGATAACATCTGCTACGGGATGCAGCCATCTCAAGAGACAGCTTAACCTGCTCTGCCACACGCCCACCCACATTATTTCTCAGATTTTCTCTAAGATTTTTCTTTCCCAGGCATTTGCCGGTGCAGACTGAGGCTGGACGAAGAGTAGCGTCGGCCCCACCCTGCCTCTCCGGAGCCGTGCAAAACGCCGCCCCACAGGACCATTCTCTGCAGAAGCCACAAAGTGCCGAGAAGATGAAATGAGGAAACAGGCGTGACGTGCTTAGAGCACTGCTTTGCATAAACTAAGTGTCATGTTCAGCAACTGTAGCCTCCCTCTCAGCCGGGAGTCACGCAGGACCCGTCCTGCCAGGCCCCCTCTGCCGACCTGCACTGCCGTGAAGATAAGAAAGGTGGACGGACGCTGAAACCATCCCAACGTGTTTATGTAACATGCTCCACTGTTCTCATTCGGGAAGCAAACTTCTAACAAGTTGTTTCTTGTACAGCATTTTGTAACTGCCTGTAACCAGTGTCAGAAATTTCAGTGCCACACTGGAGAGTGTAGAAATAAGAGTACTAAGGAGCCGGCGCCGTAGCGTAGTGAGTAAAGCTGCATCCCATATGGGCACCGGTTCGAGTCCTGGCTGTTCCACTTCTGATACAGCTCCCTGCTAATGTGCCTGGGAAAGCAGCAGAGGATGGCCCAGATCCTTGGGCCCCTGCACCTGCATGGGAGACCTCGAAGAAGCTCCTGGCTTCAGATGGGCACAGCTCTAGCCATTGTGGCCATTTGGGGAGTGAACCAGTGGATGGAAGAAGACCGTCTCTGTGTCTCTCCCTCTGCCTCTCTGTAACTCTGCCTTTCAAATAAATACATCTTACAAAAAAAAAAAAAAAAATAGGAGTAGGAGTATTAAGTACATTTTAGATACACCCCAGCAAGCTGACACTTCACATTCAGATTTCTGACTGGGGACCTGTGCCTTTATCACTAACTGGCCACTACATTCTGAGTGTGGCAACCTCAGCATCGCAGAGGTGCCCAGCATCCAAAGCTGTGAAGAAAACTGCCCACTCCAGGGTTCCCTTCACTGTCCCTCTGATCAAGGCAAAGCTGGCAGACTAACGGCCATGTTAACCTTCCTCTACCTCTTCTGCCGAGGCTGCCTCCAGAGGAGGTGTGGTCCAGGCTGAGGCTGCTGCAGGTGCCACAGTGTGTCCTCACAGGCAGAGAGGCACCCTTACGCCATCAACACTCACCACATTGTTTCTGCCCACTCCGTGACCATTGTGAGAGTAAGATTTCTGCATTCTGATTCTTGTGCTCAGGTGTGCTGTATAAAGTTCGGCCAAGTCTTGTTATTTGATAATACACAAAAACGTGAATACGGAGGTTCTTAGCCTGTGCCTTTTGCGGTTACGCACACACTGGATTCTCTTCTACACTGGTGAGAGCTGTTGCAGGATACAGCACCGTGTTGTTTAGATAGACGATGCTGTGTTTGTAAAGAAGTTAGCTGAGCCTGCTCCCTCCGTGAACTTTGCTCCTGTGCAAAAAGCCACCATCACTTTCCACAAAGAAAGTTATTTCTCTCTGGGTTTCCCCGGTACAAAAAGAAGAAGTTACAGCAACTGCAGCACGAAGCATTTAGACTTTCTCTTTCATGGCAGGTGATTCACTCTCTCCCATGCCCATGACTCAGAAGCAGTGGTCACTGGAGCACTTTCTGCAAGTCTTACGTTGTGACAAAACCTAGAGGCCAGTCTCAGTATTATTAACATCATAAGGAGTGGGGCCAGCATTGTGGCACAGCAGGTTAAATGCCACCTGTGAGCACAGCATAGCACGGGTTCGATTCCTGGCTCCTCTGCTTCCAATCCTACTCCCTGCTAATGTGCCTGGGCAAGCAGAAGGTGGCCCAAGTACTTGAATCTCTACCACTGGACGGAGTTCCTGGTTCCTGACCTTAGCCTGGCCCAGTCCCAACAGCTGCAGCCATTAGGGGAATGAATCAGCAGATGAAAGATCTGTCTGTGCCTCTCTGTCACTCTGCCTTTACAGATAAATATTCTTATTTAAGTTGTATGTTAAATTCTCTGGATGCAAAATAATAAAAGTATGAAACATTAAGAATAAAAATGATGCAGGGAGGCACCCCTTCAAGTGTTCAAGTGTTTATTTCAAGCCTCTTGACTGAAATAATTGATTCTCATGTTCTGATCAGTAACAATTTCATTAAACTCTGTTTTAGAAGGTCAGAGTGAATTGTTGGAGACAATTTCAAGGACTTGGCTTCATTCAGAATTTAAATACAGGGAAATGCCTGGATCTCTCAAGCTACAATGACTTGTGGACTAGGATGACTGGAGGGCCAGGAACAGGAACTCTTGGGGCCTGCTATGGGATGACTGGGCCCTTTGTTTTAGAACCTTTCAGATGTCAGATACGGTTATTTAGTCAACACAGAACACTACTAATCATGACAGTCCGGTGTGGAGGCAAGCAGAAGCGAGGGGAGGGGTGGGGGATTGGCCTGCTGTTTTAGCTACCAGCTGAGACGCCTGCATCCCACACTGGACTGTCCGGGCTCACTCCTGGCTCCGGTTCCAATTCCAGCTTCCTGCTAACGTGGACTCTTTAAGAGGGAGCAGGTGATGGCTCAAGTAGGTGGGTTCCTGCCACCCACAAGAGAGACCTGGATTGCATTCCTGCCAATGTGGGAATTTGGGGAGTGAACCTGAAGATAAAAGATCTCTGTGTGTCCCTTTCTACCTCTGTGCCTTCCACATAATTGTTTTAACAGGGTACTTGAAAAAGTTCATGGAAAATGGAATTATAAGATGCTTACTTTGTTGCAAAAAATTTCAAAATCCATTTGTAATTTCTCATAATACACATTTTCCATGAACTATTTGAAGACTCATAGTATGGATGGATTTCAAGATTTTTCCACACAAAAATAGATGTTTTAAATTCCATTTATCATTACCTATTTTACATACCCTCAAATACATACACAAGCGGATCATTTGCATCCTGAGATCAGATTCTAAATAGAGAAATATAACATCTCGAGTAGGAAATAGAAAACTAGCCTCCATTTTCTTTCATAGAGAAAAGAAAAAAGTGGAACTTCTCAAGTTTTTATACATGGAAGAGCAAGATGCACCATGGGAAAAAAGTGCCGAGGGGACCCTGACAGGCACAGGGAGTCCCGGGGCAGGTAGGTCCTCAGAATGACCCTGAGATGGGCGTATTTCAGAAGATGGCTGTGGCTTCCCTGAACGCCCTGTCCTGTGACTTGGTTCTCCTGGGAAGCAAGGGTGCACTATGTCCGACAGCGTACAGTGCTGCGACGCCGAGGGCACTTCCCCAAGGCCACTAACTGCCCTGTTCCCCCAGCCAGCTGCCTGATTCGGTTCAGCATCAAAATAATCACCAAACAACTATTTCCAGAATGATTCACAATGTGAAAATTAAAGCAAGGCAAATGGTTAGATGCAGAGCTAAAATTTTAACCACAGAGACTGTAACTGTAACGAAGAAGAGAAAGAAAGATGACCCAAGCACTCGAGACGAAGGCAGAGGGAAGGCACCGATGCCGGGATGTGGCCCAGCACAGGGTCTTGAGCCTCTCTGACTCTGTGTGCTGATCTCTGACATGCTGAGGCCTTGCTGGCAGGGAAGGGATGGCCCAGCTCCTGGAGGGAGCGAAGCACTCCCTCATGAGCCCCCTTTCACGGGGGAAACAGATGGATCCAGAGCTCACGCCTCCAACCACGCCTCGTGCAGTGTCCTGCTCTGACCACCACCAGGGCAGCCATGGACAAGGGTCCTCATGACAGAGAGCCCGCTGAAAGGCTTCTAACTGGCCACCCCTACCTTGCTACAGCCCTGCCCCTGCCTGGCCGTGGAAACCATGCGGAAGGCTCTGGGCCACGTTTTGTGCGGGCTCCTCCTACTGCCTACTGATCCAGGCGCTTGCCACTGCCCCCTCCCCTTGGTAGGGCATGCTCACTCCTCTTGGGCTCTGTCGTTTCCACAGCAGTCCACTCCCGATCTGTTGGCTTTGCCATACCTGAATACTAGTGAAACTGATGCTTTGTGACAGAACTTGGAGTAGTAGAACTGTGACTCCTGGCATGAGATAACACATGCTTATTTTCTGTTTCATTCTCATAGACTGAGAAAGCTGAGCTACTTCTGCTTGCCACAAATCAGAATCTTTATAGTTCCTTTGTATGTCTCTATGTTTTTAAAAATTACTGAAGAACCAACTACTAATAAATTCACCCTTTTGCAATGTACAGTTCATGTTTTGTTTTGTTTTAGTAAGAGTTATTTATATGAAAGAGAGCAGGAGATAGAAAGAGATCTTCATCTGCTGATTCACTCCCCAGATGGCTCCAATAGCCAGGGCTGAGCCAGGCTGAAGCCAGGAGCTTCCTCTGGGTCTCCACGTGGGTGCAGAGGCCTAAGCACTTGGGCCATCTGCATTGGAAGTAGGGCAGCTGGGGCCTGAACCAGTGCCCATATGGGGTGCGAGGACTGCAGTGACTACCCAGTGTGCCACAGCACTGGCCCCCAATTCATGGGTTTTAGTGTAATGTGCTAGACCATCATCACTAGGTCTAGATTTCAGGACTCTAAAATGAAACCTCCTATCCACTCCTCGCCACCCTAGACAGCCACTATTACCTCTTCTGCCTGTGGTGGACACTTAAAACACATGGAAACATGTAGGATGCCTCTGTGGCGTCCTCCACGTGACAAACTGCTTTCGAGGTTCGTCCATGGTGACCTCCTTTTCTTTGACGTTAAATCGCAATGGACAGATACACACGTTGTGTTTACCACTCATCAGTTCACGAACATTTGGGCAGTTTCCACTCTTGCTATTATGAATAATGCTGGCATTTGCTGGCTACTGATGTCCAAGTTTTTGTGTAGACATGCTTGTGATTTTCTTGAGGTAAATTAATTTACAGTGAAACGGCTGGGTCACGGGACAAATATCCCTATGAATTGTTAAGTTATTTTATTGAACACCAGAGAGACAGAAATCTGCCATCTACTAGCTCATGTTCCAAGTGTCTGCCAGAAGCAGGTCAGAATGAAGCCAGAAGTCAGGAACTCAAACCGGTCTCCCATACAGGCCACCACAACTTGAGCCATCGCCTGCTGTCTCCCAGAGTGTACAACAGCAGGCAACTGGGATTGGGAAAGGAGGTGGGACTCAAATGTAGGCAGTTGGATATGACATGCAGGAGTCCCAAGTGGCTCTTAAGGTCCTGTTGACCACGCAGGTTCAGCCCCATGAGACGGCGCCTGCAGCACAGAGGCAGGCGCCAGGCAGCCTCGGTACCAGTGTGCTTTGCTGCTCTGCCTTTAGTAACGGTCTGACAGTAGCTCACATGTAATGCCAATGCTAGCTGCTAGTAGGATCCTTATGATCGCCTTATTAGAGAAAGGAACTGAAATACATTAGTAAACAGAAGGAAGGCCACATGGACAGAGACTGAACGAACAACTGTCCCGACGCCCCAGGAAGGGTCTTGAACGCGAGAGAAAAGCCCCAGGCTGACCGTCATTTCCAGGAAGTGAAGGAAGGGACGAGGACTGACTGCAGCAGAATGGAACTGACGCAAGCTCACGAACCTTTGCCGGCCAGATCTTAGGCACACGGCATACAACTGTGCACGTATGTTTTTTCACCTGGAAAGGCTAAACATAGCAACTGCAGAGGACTGAGAGAACTGTGTCAGGAAATGCTACACCGACAGATGTCCAGGAAGTGGTGCCCATTATCCTACAGAATGAAAGGAAAGCGCACGTCTGCAACAAGCCAAAGGAGAGGATGTGAGCAAGTATGTCAGTCCACACCTGCACACACTCAAGGCCGAACTGCCTTCCCTGTGAGCTGCCCAACTGCACTGCCCCCTCTCAGTACGCAGAAAACTCAAGAGAAAAACAGTGCCGCTTCGGTGCCTTACATGGAATCCCGATGGCACTGAGTGAAACGGGCTGCATCTACCTGCACAGCAGGCAGGCATCCTGCCCTCTGAGATGCATACAACCGTGTTGACAAGTCACTGCTGGGTGTGCTGCCGACGCTAATACTCACTAAGAAAAGGTAGCGTTCTTGTGCCGACGTGTTCCGAGCAGCCAGTTTGAGGATCTGCCCTTCTTTTATGAGTTCATTTGAAGGATTTACAATGTCTTCTTCTTCTCCCAACATTTCATAAATCTCTAAGAGTTTCTTTAGGTTCTCCTAAGAAATTAAAACACAGCAGATCAACAATAAGGAGTTTCTGACTCAATACCTTTAATAAAATTATGACCTTAACTCAAATCAGGATAGTTCAGAAAGGATAAGCGTACGCTTGGATATAAAATGTACCAGGTATCAGTAAATTCAAACCTGATTAAAGAAGGGAGAGGATTATTCCAAATAACTTGAAACATTTTGTAAATGTTCTATTTTGTTCAGCTCTGTAAGTTCACTTTGGCTCAAACCTACAGAGAGTATTAGTTTGTATTATTGACAGTTTTCTAACCAGAAGGTTCCTGTCTCCTCTAAAAACCACTTACCATTTTTCTTATTGCACTATTAGAATGGCTTGCTGCTGTAGATATAATTTCAAGTGATTCTAAATGGGAAAAAAAGAAAAGCAAATAAATATGCTTTGTCCTTCCCAGACTACTAGGTAGCTGAATAACTTACACACTAAAATAAGAGGAAATCTGGGAGCAAATCCACACCGAAAGCAGTGGCAGTTTCCATTTATAAACTGGATTCTTTCAGAGTTCAACTGTGAGCTGATGATGCGGTACTGAAGGGCATTTCCTTACACCAAGTCATATATGCTAATGAGGTTCATAAATATTTAGTCCACGTCAGAACTTCAAAATCAACAAGCACTTAAGAGTAACACTAACAAGACACTTTGCCAGATGCTTCCATAGATACAGTAAGTAATCCTTACACAGCCTTGGATGGCGAGTGCATCAGGAGGTAATACCACTTGGGAAAGGACACACAGCCAAGTTACTGCAGGGCCAGATGTCAATCCTGTTTCTAACCCCAAATTCTACAACATTGCAGTGGTAGCACTGCACTAGTTTTATGGGCAAACTAACCACTGAGTAGAACCAGTTTTCTTTGGGAAGGAGCACTCACAGTTCTAGCCTGGATCGGGTGAAAGGGACTCTCCCGGTGCCAGTGTTGGAGGGTGCTGCTGCTGGGGCAGGTGGGGGTGACAGATGGGGACAGGCAGTCTCTGCTGTGGACATCGCGGACACTCCAGGGACAGCTGGTGAGAAGCTGTGGAAGCCCAGGCCTTGTGCCGGATCAACCCCAGGGACTCCCTCTCCGTCCTCAATCATGTCCTGTTTTCTTCCCTTCTTTTCTCTCCTGTGATACTGGCATGCCTCATTCTGTGACCACAACAACCCCATCACTTCTGGACTACATGTTCTGTCTTAGCATTACCGCACAGACTGCACTTTTTTTGCTTTCCCTCCTACTCTTAGGTCTCTTTCGTGAGCCCTACTTCTGTGATTTCCTTAAAATTTTAGTGTGAGTAGCAAAGGAACACCAAGAGTAGTAGTCACATACCCTACTATGCTACCAGCCTCCTTGCTCCTGACACAGGTATTTTAAGGAAGACAAAGGCTTTGAGTATAGAAGACACTGAACTGTTACTGACAATTTAGAGAACTATATTGATTTGAGCAATTCTGTGCATTCAATTGAGGATAGAGGAAGGGGACAACATGGGCTGGGGCCAATGCTTATGACACAAATTTGAGGAAGAGCAATGGTGTTTCTGTCTCCAAGTCCCAGTTCTCCATTCAGGGCAGGCATTTGGCCTGGGAGTTAAGAAGGCAGGTAGATGCCCACATCCCATAGGGGAGTGCCTGGGTTTGGGTCCCAGCTTAGGCAAGACTCCAGCTTCCTGTTAATGTGCATCCCATGAAACAGTGGTGACTGCTCAAGTAGTTGCGTGTCTGCCACCCACTCGGAAGACTTGGATTGAGCTCCCTACTCCCAGCTTCAGCCTGAGCCAGCCCTGGCCATCAGAAAGTCATCTGGAGAGTGAATCAGCAGGCGGGCTCTCTCTCTCTCTCTCTTACATAAATTGAAAACAAACAAAACAAGCACTAACATGAGATGGGTGGAAAATGGCAGGGGGCCAGTTCCAAGGAAGCAGGTGACTAGAGGAAGGCGGCGAGTTAGGTTTACTCTAACTAGAAGGACAAAGGGAAGAAGAGAAGTTTCTGTGGTCACCAAGATACTTGGATGTCCTGAGAAACAAATCAGACAGTTTGTGCTCAAGACCAAAGGTAAGGTTTTGTGTTCTTCGTCTCTCTCTCCGAAGCTCACTTCAAACAGAAGAAATAACAGGGAAAAGGGGCCGTGTCTCAGTATCACACTCCATCATGGTTAGGACTTGCTCAACACCAAGCCATTTCTATCTTAAATTTCCATTCATCCCTTTACAGTTCATTTTTAAAACTGCCTAAGAAAACTCACAATTTCAACTCATGACTTTTTCATTATAATCAAATGAAAAAGTAAAAGACAACTTAGAAAACTGGAGTTCATTTTCTTAAGACAAATGTTACTGGACAACAAAAAAGCACCATTTCCTGTTATGCTGTAGGGCAGGCGGGGCCAAGGCTGCTTACGTTATTTTTACAGCAAATGCCACCTTAGCCGTCTGGTATCCATCAACTCATCTGACTACACAGCAGCACTGGTCATTCTGAATGGCTGTTCCTCCTACGAGGACGCAGTCTCTATTCCGGATGGCTCTGAGACTACAGTTTTGCATTTCATAGTGATTAACAAGAAACCCACAGGAGAAATGTGACTGGCACTGCTCTCAGCTTCGACTTGCCTAACTGAGAGGTGTCGATAACAACCTCCACGAGGATTACTTTCTGGCGGCAATACTTGGCGAGGGGAGCTGGGAGACACGTCCCACTTGGGAGCCCCAAGGCTGCTTGGCCACTTGGTTAGTCCAGAACGGGGGAGAAAAGAGAAAGCATTACTTTTGGCGTCGTTGCCGTCCGGGGAGCCGGCGGGCAGCTTCCTCAGGTAGTCTTTGAGGAGCATCTCGTAGCGGGGGATCCGCTGCACGGGCTCCAGCATGTGGTGCTGCAGCGTCAGGCTCCCGCAGATCTTCTGCTTCTGCAGGAGAAACCTTGTCAGAAACACAGTCCCGGGACCACGCTAAGAACACAGGAGAGCAGCAGAGCTCTTCCACAGAGAGCATGACTGTGTGATCACCATGCGAGATGCTGGGCGCCTGTATAAAGGCAGTTCTGTTTTGTTTTAGATTTACTTGAGAGGCAGAGTTACAGAGGAGGGACAGACAGGAAGATCTTCTACTCGCTGGTTAACTTCCCAAATGGCCACAACAGCCAGGGTTGGGCCAGGCCAACGCCCCCAAACATGGAGCTCCATCCAGGTCTCCCACATGGGTGTGCAGGCCCAAGGACTCGGGCCATCTTCTGCTGCTTTCCCAGGAGCATTAGCAGAGAGCCGGTTCGGAAGTGTAGTGACCAGGGCTCAAACTGGTGCCCAGATGGGATGCTGGTATAGCAGTTTAACCTGCTGTGTCACAGTGCCCCCACGGAGGCAGGGCTCTGAACCCGACCTCAAACTACGAAATCTCAATCTTTGGGGAAAGAGGAGAACATGCATTTCAAATAACACCTGTATCACAACACTGAAGTCTGAGGACCATTAATCTCATGGAAGAACAGACAGGAGAGATCTAAATTTGAGGCAAGCAAGTTCCAGATTGCTGGCAACCACTTCAGTTACTCATTACCAGGGACTGTGAAGTCATGCCAATAAGTCAGAGATTTTTCAAAGCATGCACCTGTTCATGAGGTTCACTAAGCACAACTGTATGAACTGACTTTGGACTTAGTAGAAACTGTTTCCTAGTGAGCCTATCATAATCATCATTCCTTTTGAACTTAAAGACTCGAATGAAGAATGACAAGACTTGGGCATCTTGTTATCTGTTTAAAAAATTTAATTTTTCACTAGGCCAATACATTCTGTTTCACTAGAAACCAAGTTCTACAAATAGATCTCTGTTACTTTGGGCAAAATTTAATCTGTATCACTTGCTTTTTCCAAATAGCTGTTAACAGGGGGAAAAGCAAGTCGTATTAATGTTCTTCTTAAAACAGAAACCTGATTAAAAGATTCATCAAACTCACACCACGCACAAGCACCGCAAGACGCAGAAGGTGTATTAGGACATGGTTTTGCGTTCGCAGCAAAATTAACTGACGGTTTCACAGAGAAAGGCGAGTTTTAGCACAGCCTCTCTCAGCTCACGCACTGGTGGGAGGGGAAGTGAGTGGGAGCAGGGCGCATGCGCAGCACGAGGGCCAAGGCAGGGGCTGTGAAACCTGTTCCATGAAAGGGAGCGAGGGGAAGCGGGCAAACAAGAAGGGAAGGTGGTGAGTGAGGAACGCCAGGGACCTCCAGAGCCAGGCCGGGTTTAATGTGCGGCAGCCACTGCAGGCTTCTGTCTCCGGGGCTGCTAGCATCAGCGCTGAGCTCTATTATGACAAACCCACTAGAAGCCAGCACTGTGGCCCAGCAGGCTAAGCTTCCGCCTGTGACACTGTCATCCCGCAGGATCATAGTTCCACTGCTGCGCCACTTGCAGTCCAGCTCCCTGCTGACGCACCTGGGAAGGCACTGGAGGAGGGCCCAAGTACTCGGGTCCCTGCACCCCTGTGGGAGATGAGAATGGAGTTCCAGGCACCCAGGCTTCAGCTTGGAGCCATCTGGGGAGCGAACCAGCAGACGGAAGATCCCTCCCGCCCTCCCTCCCTCCCTCTCTCTCTAACCCTTGCCTTTCCTACAAATCAATCAGTCCTAAAATAAAAAGGATGAACTTATTGCAGTGTGGCTTCACGGGAGAAGCAGCAGCTGGTCTAGACGTTACTGTAGACCAGAAGGAAAGAAACAGGGCATGGAAGTAGAGGGAATATTAACCTTCCTTAATATAAAGTGTAAGGTACTAATTTTACAGGTTTAATGAGCTCATTTGATTTTCCCCAACAAAGCAATTATATTAACCCAGGAAATTATTACTGAATTTCAAATTTTCACATGAACTGCAGCTCAGACACCAGAGCTTTCCAAGGCCAAGTGAGTAAACTCCAGACCAGGGTCGGTGATTCCCAACCTCCCACTGTTTAGAGCCTGGCTCATTTCCTGATGACCCAGAGGCGGCAGGTGCTGCAAAGACAGAATTCAGCCCGAAAGGACAATAACAACTACTCCCCTCCCCCATCACCATGATTTAGTGAGCATTGCTGTGCAAGAAATGCCAGCCTACCCACCTTGAACACACTATCTCACAGTCAAGCAAACCCATGGATGGAAAGGAAAAGTAACGAACACAAGATAGAGCCAAGAGGTCGAGCTGCAGTGAATGAGAGATTAATGATACTGTTTAATCAACTGCTTAATCCTGTATCCGAGTCATCTTCTCTCTAAGGCACGTACAAGCCAGAGAGAAAAATATGCTTGAGAGCTAAAGACAGGAATAAAACACGTTGGCTTTGTTTTGACAGCAGATGCTTGTGCACAACTGATGTTACCTGGAGTTTAGGGACAGAGGACTAGCCTAGGAACAACACGCGCAGAAGCATCTCCTGGCATGGGTAGGGGTGTGGAGGACGTGGTCTCACTGAGGGTCTGAAGAGAGAAGGCTGGGGCGTGCCAGCCTTGTGCTCAGCCCAGGTTTCACCATCATGAGGAAGGACTAGTGACAAAACCAGAGGAGGAAGCAGAGGAGGGCTAGACCGTGAGAGAAGAGAGGTGCTCAGGCCAAGGAGGGAAGGGACGAGGCAGGGCTTCCCGCCACGGCTAAGGGAGCAGATCAGCAAATACTCGCTATTAAATCCAACCTCAAGCCGGTACTCAGCCTAGCCTTTAAGGTGCCGTTTAGGACGCCTTCATCTCGTATCAGAGTGCCCGGGTTTGGGTCCCGGCTCTCTTCCAGGTTCCAGCTTCCCGCTAACGCAGAGCCTGAGACACAGCAAGTACAGCTCGGACACCGGGTCCCTGACACCCACACAGGAGACCTGGACTGAGTTTCTGGCTCCCAGCGTGGACCTGGCCTAGCTCAAGCTGTTGGAGGAATTTGGGAAGTGAACCAATGGATAGATTTTCTCTCTCTCTCTCACGCACTCACTCTCTCTCTCTAACAAATAAATTTTAAAAACAACTGTAAGGCTGTATATCACTGACAAAGCCATTTCAGCATTTCAGATACTGATCGCAGGAATATAACAGTCTGAAAAGCACATGTGCTGTGCAAACTGTCGGACTGGGAGTGAGAACAGTGGGAGTCCGGCAGCCCCGCCTGGGCTGTGAAGGCCCAGCCAAGGCAGCACAGGCGTGAGGACTGGCACTTTCTGTGCTGAGGCGGTCAGGGGCTCACTCCATGTGGAGTGTGGGCGGTGCACACACACAGCAGGTGAAGGCCTCTGAGGTAGTGGGTGGGGAAGGTTGATGGCTCTGCTGGCGTTCAGCTGGGTGTGTGTGCAGAGAGATTCCTGCCTGAGACTGAGCAAACCATCAGCTCAGGCAGGCAGGGCACAGCTGCCATCTCCTCCGGCAGCTGGGGGCCGTGCACACGGGGATGGGACACATGAAAGGCTCTGGGGGGCTTGCAAATAACTTATCATTATTTAAAGATTTATTTACTTGAAGGCAAGGTGACAGAGAGACAGGAGAGACAGAGACAGATCTTCCATCCACTTGCTCACTCCCCAAATGGCTCCAACAGCCTTGTCTGGGTCAGGCAGGAGCCAGGAGCCAGGAGCTCCATCCCCATCTCCCATAGGCAGCAGGGGCCCAAGCCATTAATCGCTGCCTTCCGAGGTGCACCAGCAGGGAGCTGGACCGAAAGCAGAGCACACAGAACTCGAACCAGCCCGTTCATTCCCCCAAACGTCTGCAACAGCTGGGCTGCGCCAGGCCAGAGCCACGGTCTCCCACATGAGTGGCGGGTGCCTAAGTTCTTACATAAACCACCACTGCTGCCTCCCAGAATACACACTAGCAAGAAGCTGGATTGGAAGTGGAAGCAGAGCTCGAACCCAGGCAGTCACAATGAAAATAAGGGAAACACTGAGTTTGGGGGCAGATGCCGTGCTGCAGTGAGTGGACACCCACTTCCCATGTCAGAGTGCTAGCTCCAGTGTCAGATGCTCCGCTTCTAATCCAGCTCCCTGCTAATGCGCCTGGGAAGCAGTGGGTGGTGGCTCAAGGACTGCTGGTCTCCAAACCTAGTGGAGAACCTCCGGCCGAGTGGAGGCAGGTGCACCTGGGCATTTTCTCTCGGATTCAGAGCAGAAAGGATTTGGGCCGAGTAGCTGACATCCCTACACCCCCACCTCAGGCCGAGAGGGCCTTGTGACTTATCCGGAGACACGTATGCAGGTCCTCGACCACAACAATCCTATTACCTGAATTTCTTCAACCACTGCTTTGAACTGAGGCACGCGCTCCATCATGTTTTTAACCAGCTCCATCGCGTTGTCAAACCCTTTCACATACTCTCCATACATCTTGAGGAACGGTGCCAGCTTCTGAAGAATGTCCCCAATCCGAGGGGTGGTCTCCCTGTACCAAATACAGAAGCACAACATCAGGACGTCTCACCGGTGAGCCCAGGGACGGGACGCAGACGAAGCAGTCCCTTTGCACACACACCCCTGTGCCTTTCCAGTTCTGGTCTGTGGGGAGACTGGGACAGAAAGCAGCAGCAGGCAGGGAGATGCCATGGAGCTCTGGAAGCTCCCAACCCCCGATAGCCGCCAGTCAGAGACCGGCTGGAGCGCGGGGAGGAAGTGCTTTCCATCTGACGCTGCGATGGAATGTCCCAGTTTCCACCGTGGGCTTGGATGCAGAAACTGAGCACGAGTGTCTAGCTATGTCTGCATGCCGGGTGTGGCATTTCTCTGTCAGTGGAAAAGCTGAACGCCACAGCCCCTGTGTGCCTGCCGCGGCCACGGCCCCTGTGTGCCTGCCGCGGCCACGGCCCCTGTGTGCCCATAGCCCCTGGTACCTGCCGCGGCCACGGCCCCTGTGTGCCCATAGCCCCTGGTGCCTGCCACGGCCATGGCCCCTTTGTGCCTGCCGCGGCCACGGCCCCTGTGTGCCCATAGCCCCTGTGTGCCTGCCGCGGCCACGGCCCCTGTGTGCCTGCTGCAGCCACGGCCCCTGTGTGCCTGCCGTGCCCATAGCCCCTGTGTGCCTGCCGCGGCCACGGCCCCTGTGTGCCCACAGCCCCTGTGTGCCTGCCGCGGCCACGGCCCCTGTGTGCCCACAGCCCCTGTGTGCCTGCCGCGGCCACGGCCCCTGTGTGCCCACAGCCCCTGTGTGCCTGCCGCGGCCACGGCCCCTGTATGCCCACAGCCCCTGTGTGCCTGCCGCGGCCACGGCCCCTGTGTGCTCTCTGCTCCTCTTACCATTCCTGCATTCGCTTCTCCAGCTCTGGCAACAGGAACTTACTATGGAAGGCATTGATTGAGGAAATGTTAGAAAAGATTTTATTCACCATCTCTGCTGGAAAGGAGCCTTGGTTTGCTTCTTCCAAGAGCTTGCAATAAAAGACCTGAACAAGAGAAGAAAACAAACATTACTTCAAACTGGTTGCTTCCCCAGCTGGTGCGGGGTTAGGCACAAATGTGTTGGCTCGTGGTAACTTTCAGTTGCACAAATGGAAAAATTCATGGTTCGAGAAGATCACCTTCGTACGGAATGCAGAAGTGAGTATAAGCTTAGATTCAGAAGCACCAGGAGTAAGAATTAGCACACTGTGACTCTAACCTAGGCTATGCCCCTCTCTAGGGACTGTGAGGACTTACTTGTTCTGTGCCAGGGAGTTTCCAGTGGAGGCAAACAGAATGTACCCTTCCTGCCTGCAGCTTGAGTCAGAGATGTGAAGACACTTTACATCTATGTCATACTTTGGGTTTTTTTTTTTTTTAACATCTCCTTATGTTGTGAATGGCTTCTACGACATGACACACTGCCCTTTATACTGTAGTTATTCTCATTTTTCCTATTAAAACCGTGTTCCTTGGGAAGGAGAGGATGTCAGGATTTATTTCCCAATAACAGGTACTTAATATGTGACCAATGAATGAACCAAAGTTCCTTTCCGTTCTGATATGTTTACTTATTTATGAGAAAATAATAATGAAGGATAGCAACGCAGTGCAAGGGTGCTGGGAGAAGCGGATTTTCAGCACCTGCTGCCAGGCACCTTCAAGACAGTTTAAAACACACGGAACTGTGGCAGCCTCAGCCCACTGCACGGGGGCTACTCCATGGCTGCCCCAGCATTCCATTCAACATTAGCAGGAGCCCAGTTCCTTCTCAGTGTCCAGATGCTTGCTGATTTTCTAAATTCACCTCTACTGCACTTTCTCAGGAGGCCAAAAGAACACAAGATTATGTCCTTAGAGGCTGTGTGTAATAATTAAAACTCAGCAAGTGGCCGGCACTGCGGCTCACTAGGCTAATCCTCTGCCTGCAGCACAGGCACCCCAGGTTCTAGTCCCAGTTGGGGCACCGGATTCTGTCCCAGTTGCTCCTCTTCCAGTCCAGCTCTCTGCTTTGGCCCGGGAAGGCAGTGGAGGATGGCCCAAGTGCTTGGGCCCTGCACCCCATGGGAGACCAGGAGAAGCACCTGGCTCCTGGCTTCAGATCGGTACAGCCCGCCGGCCGTAGTGGCCATTTAGGGGGTGAACCAATGGAAGGAAGACCTTTCTCTCTGTCTCTCTCTCTCTCTCACTGTCTAACTCTGCCTGTCAAAAAAAAAAAAAAAAAAAAAAAAAAAAAGACTCAGCAAGTAAGTTAATTTGACTTAAAAAAAAAAAAAAAAAAAGGCAAAACACAATGTGGTAAGAGGGAGAGCCATGCCTCCACTCTGGGAACACTGTGAAGTTTCAGCTCTGGGATTCAGAGAAGTTGTTTCAAGGGTGCAAACTCTACATGAACTGATGGTGTTTTGTGATGAAATCCCTTGAAAAACAGGTACTTGGGCCACCAACTGAATATTCCCAAGAACACAAGGCTCACAGAGGCTCCTGGAGGTTCACCTTAGCTGGCGTGGCACTGGCTCCTGAGACAAGCAGCAGTGCCAAGGAGTGCCTGTTCCCATGGAATTCAGTTCTCCAGTGGGAGGAGCGAGACAGTTCTTGGAACGAACATTCAAACGTAGTAGTAGCTTTCTCTTCTAACAGGAGGAATCTGCATGAGCAGACAAGTTTTTCGAACGTCTTGTCTTTATTGCTGAAACAGCATTAAGATGCCTTAGCATTCAGTAATTAATCATACGATGCACTTTTCAATGGTTAAAAAAACCCTACTTGCCAGATGCATATTTAAAAGGCTATTTAAGTCTACACCACAAACTACAAGATGTACAAAGTAGATTCACATATTACAGTATTTAAAGTTCATGGAAAAATGGATTTGACTGATAAGCTTTATTTTTGTGCAAAACCACTTTGAAATCCATGAATTGTTTTCTCATAATATGCAGTTTTCATAAACTTTTGGAAGACCTCTTGTATGCGTGAATTTCAAAATTTTTGAACCAGATTTTTTTTTCTTTACTTTGAAAGAGAGAGAGAGAGAGGAAGAGAGCGCGCACGTGAGTGAGCTCCTATCTGCCAGTTCACCTCCCAAATGCCCACCTGGAGCTAGAAGGTGGCGGCTCAATCCAGGTCTCCCGCATGGAGAGCAGGGACCCGAATACTTGAGCCATCACCTACTGCTTTGCAAGGTGTACACTGGCAGGAAGCTGGAATTGGGAGCTGGAGCTAAGAATCCAACTCAAGTACTCCTAAGAGGGACACAAGTATCCTAGCCAGCACTGTACCTGCTATGTGCACCTTGCCCTAAACTTATCTTTTAACTTGATTTTCCACAAATGCTTTGAAGTACTCTTCTATGGATTCATCAAATACTGAATGGGAAATTTTACACCAAGCACTGCAGTTAATTTTTCATACAAGGCTGAACTCTCTCAAAATCACTTCTGAGCCTATGATGGCACCAGCAAATGAGACAGACCCAGTGGAACACGAGGGATGTTCCTGGGGGCCCAGAGAAAAGCATTGCGTGTCAGAGAAACCCCTACTGCTTTGATTTAGAAATGTTAATACCCAGAGTGAACTGACCCATAAAGCTGACCTTGGACCAAATACTTTCACCAGCCAAAAACAGCCCTCTTGCAGTTTCTAAAGCAATGCCCAATTGTAAGATAATTCTGAAAGGGAAAAGCTTACCTGATCTAAGAGGTCCAGCCGGCTGACATAAGCTCTTTCTGTGACTAACAGCTCATTGGCGATCTTGTGAAGTTTTTGCTCATTAGTCTCCTAAAAACACAAAAGACATTCCCACATTAGACAGGCGTTGGCTCATGTTTCTCTGGCACTGAAGACCTCCCCAGATGCCCTGACCCAAACACTTCCAGAGTTCTCAGGTACCCCAGAGCTCCCAGGGAGGCCAGGAAGGGCCCCCGACCACAGCTAGAAACGGGGATCTGCTGCACTTGACCGGGAGCTGTTTCTGTGGCCCTGCAGCCACCAGCACTGTCCTTCCCCCTGAAACATCTGTGCTCTTTCTCAGGGCCCAGGACTGAGACCTCCCCCCTCTCCCTCCCTCTCTGAAGCCACTCTTTGGAAATGACTTCATCCCTCCCCAGACGTCCTAATTATTAGCTCTACGCAGGCAACTTTTTGCCTTTAGAGACTCATTTTACTGTGAATGATTTCAGCCACAGGTAATAGGAAGGGAAGCAGCAAGATGAGCCCCAGGCATCCGTCTATGCCCCCCCCCCCACTGCTCTCTGCCCCCATGATTGTAAACCCCACTTTATTATCTCCTGGGTATACATGTATTCAAACTCTCAACATACGTGTAAACCTTGCCAGTGTTCGGGATGACAGGGACATTTTTTTCTTTGCTAGTTGCGCTACCTCCTGTGCCTAGCACAGCACTTCAATAAAAACACTGGCACTCAGCAAACGCGTCCAAAGGAAGGGAGGGAGGAGTAGCAACCTCCACACCCAATGACAGCTAACACACGTTACTTCTCCGGCATGCCGGCGGGGTAGACCAAACTCACCTCTTCCACCTGCAACGTTCCAGGTCTGCTAACGGTGCCATCCCTTCCCAGGGGCTGGCTTTGGAGTCTTGAATTATTACGGACATTCAGCCGCCGGCCAGCCAGTCCTGCTGGTGGCGTGCTGCCTCCAGCCTTTCTCCTGAGGCTCTCTCATCCCTGCCACCCTGTGTGGTGCACCTCATCGCAAGCTCAGGCCAATCGCCAGTTCCCATATGATCTGGTTCCAGTGTTTTTGGCTCTAACCCGATCTGCACAGGGCTGCATGCTGACTCCTTCTAAAATCCCGCATACTACGGTCGGTCCTTCTCACAGGATGAACAGCCTTCGGCAGTGCTGTTCTCACTGATGAAAGAGCCTGGACCACTACTGCGCGGGGTTGTCCACGTCCCCACGGACTCCTCACACTGTGTTCTCACTGCACCTGTGCTGTCACAGCACACACCCCCATCTACAGCACATCTGACCACTGTGCAAACGTGGCCATGGCGTCCCCAAACCCTTCTTCTTCCCATTCTCTCTGCGCTACTTATCTCTTGCTGAGTCTCTCTGGGTGTCTAACACTGGATTTCCTTTTCACAGCCTGCTGTGTCTCCATTCCTCGTCCACAGAGCTGACTTCAACCATTCTAAGCTGTTGAGCTTGTCTGATTAGAACACATTTTTTTAATTGTTATTATTTTTTTAATTATTATTATTTTTTTTTGACAGGCAGAGTGGACAGTGAGAGAGAGAGACAGAGAGAAAGGTCTTCCTTTGCCGTTGGTTCACCCTCCAATGGCCGCCGCGGCCGGCGCGCTGCGGCCGGCGCACCGCGCTGATCCGATGGCAGGAGCCAGGAGCCAGGTGCTTCTCCTGGTCTCCCATGGGGTGCAGGGCCCAAGCACCTGGGCCATCCTCCACTGCACTCCCTGGCCGCAGCAGAGAGCTGGCCTGGAAGAGGCGCAACCAGGACAGAATCTGGCGCCCCGACCGGGACTAGAACCCGGTGTGCCGGCGCCGCTAGGCGGAGGATTAGCCTAGTGAGCCGCGGCGCCAGCCTGATTAGAACACATTTTATATCTTATACGTAAGTCTTTAGTCTGAGAAATTTTACCAAGTACACTGCGGGAATATCCAATCAATATAAAAGATGACACAGTACAATGAGGTTAGGAAAAACTGGTAGCAAAGTAGACCAAAGCCTTTTTTAAGCCAGTGTCTAATAACTTGACATTCCAAATTGTGTATAAAATGCTATAATTATATAAAATTGTAAAATGCTACAAAGTTCTATGAATGAGATCTACTTTTCCACACAACATCCTCTCTCACGTGCAACGTTACTGTGTTGCTTCTTTCTACAGCATGGAATGAAGTATTTTTTGTATCAAGTCTTCAAGGAATATAACAGTGCTTACATGACCTATGGCCTCAGAAATACTGAAATAAAAATGACACAGTCATCAAATTCCAGCACGAGTCAACATTTTGCTTTAACGTAACACAGAGTAAAGTGCTGGCGTCGCTGCTGGCCTGGCTAGCATCCTCGTCCCCTTCCACTCCATTTCTTTTGTCTTTTTTTTAAAGACTTTATTTCATCTGAAACGCAGAATGACAGGGAGAAAGGGAGAGATGCAAAGAGAGATCTTTCATCTGCTGGTTCACTCCTTAAATGGCTGCAACAGCCAGGCTGGAGCCGGGGGCCTGGAATGCCATCTGGGGACAGGGGCCCAAGCACTTAGGCCACCTTCCACGGCTTTCCCAAGCACATTAGCAGGAAGCTGGATCAGAAGTGCAGCTGCTGGGACTTGTACCAGGGCTCATGTGAGATGGGGACATCGCAAGCAGCAGATTAACCCATGGTGCTGCCATGCTGGCCTGCTACTCCTCAGGGAGAATCCTGGGATTGATCTTCCTTGGGAGTACCAGGTGAGCTCCTGGTGCCTCTGGGATGGCCACCAAGCTGAGATCGGTCTGTGCAGGTAGGCCAAGTGATGTGTTCTCTGTAGCCAGAAGCATCCTGACTGATGTGGCACACTTGAGGGCTGTGCTACATATGCAGGATATTCCATGGAACTGAAAACCTTCCAACCAACTTCCAATTTTAAAAATCATTTATTTGAAAGGCAGAGTTACAGAGACGGAGGGAGAGATAGATCTTCCATCCACTGGTTCACTCCCTGAATGGCCGGAATGGCCTGAGCTGGGCTGATCCAAAGCCAAGAGCTTCTTCCGGTCTCCTATGCGGGTGCAGGGGCCCAAGCACTTGGGCCATCTTCTGCTGCTTTCCCAGGCCATAGCAGAGAGCTGGATCAGAAGTAGAACAGCTGGGACTCTAACCGGTCTCCGTAAGGGATGCCATCGTTGCACTTGACCTGCTATGCCACAGCACCGGCCCCCCAAGCAACTTTTAAGTGATTACGACTTCCAAGAATTAAAAGTTGGTGGGGCCGGCACCGTGGCTCACTTGGTTAATCCTCTGCCTGCAGCGCTGGCATCCCATATGGGCGCCGAGTTCTAGTCCCGGTTGCTCCTCTTCCAGTCAAGCTCTCTGCTGTGCCCCGGAAGTGCAGTGGAGGATGGCACAAGTCCTTGGGCCCTGCACCCACATGGGAGACCAGGAGGAAGCACCTGGCTCCTGGCTTTGGATTGGCACAGCACGCCGGCCGTAGCGGCCATTTGGGGAGTGAACCAACGGAAGGAAGACCTTTCTCTCTGTCTCTTTCTCACTGTCCATAACTGTACCTGTCAAATAAAAAAAAAAAAACTTAACAAAAATAATTAAAAGTTAATGAAACTAAAATGTGACTTCAAAATCTGTGATGCACAGTAAACGTTTCAGCAACCTACCAGCATTTCAGGGGGAAGAAACAGGAGTATGAACAAATGCATACAACCCAAGACACAGAACACGTCCCCCAGGCCCCAGCGTGGTCCATGCCCCATGGAGCCAGCCCCTCTCCACCACAGACTCCTACCGCCAGCTCCCGGGAACCACTCGTGCGATTCCTTTCACACAGTGTCCAGTGATTGGAATCGCACTGACACGTTTTCCAGATGCTCCATGGAAAATGAGTAGTATGAAAAATGGATGAATGGACTCGTTATTTCTGCATCAAAATAAACTGAACTCCATTTCCACACACTCAGAAGTCCCCTCATTTGTGCATCCTGAGTCTTGCTTCTGTTAGAAGAATGCTCGAGAGACATCCCTACTGGTGTTAGCATCAGCAGTGTGTTCTTCGTAAGCCCTTCATTTTATTCTAATAAAGGTGATGTACTTATTTGCTTATTTTTTTTTGAAAGGCAGAGTTACAGAGAGAGAAGGAGATACAAAACGCACACACGCGCCACACATACACTCACACACTGGGGAGGGAGGGAGGGAGAGAGGGAGGGAGGGAGGGAGGGAGGGAGGGAGGGAGGAGAGAGAGAGAAAAAAAATGTTCCACTCACTGGTTCACTCCCCAGATGGCCACAATGGCTGGGGCTGCACTGATCCACAGCCAGGAGCCAGGAGCCTCTTCTGGGTCTCCTAGGTGGATGCTGGGGCCCAAGCACTTGGATCATTCTCCACTGCTTTCTCAGGTTCACTAGCAGGGAGCTGGATTGGAAGTGGAGCAGCAGGGTCTCTATTCAGGGCCCATATGGGATGCTGGCATCACAGGCAAAGACTTTACCTGCTATACTACAGCACCAGCCCCATCTTATTTTTAAGCTTCTTTATATATTTGAAAGGAGGAGCCAGAGGGAGAGGGCGAGAGGGAGAAAAAGGAGGAGCAAGGTATCTTCCATCTGCTGATTCATTCCCTACAAGCCTGTAACAGACCAGGCTGGGCCAGCTGGAAGCCTGGATCTCAAAACTCCATCGGGGTCTTCTGTGTGGGTGGCAGGAACCCAACCGCTGGGGCCATCACCTGCTGCCTCTAGGCTGTGCAGAGCAGGAAGCTGGAACCGGAACGGAGTTGGGATTTGAACCCAGGAACTGAGAGACGAGATGCGGGGCTCCGAAGCAGCGGCTTTCACTGCCACACTGCAAACCCAGCCTCTGACAGCTATCTTTAAGGGAAGTCACCCAGGGGAACTTGTGCCGTGATAAGGCAACGCATCATTCACAAGCCAGAGCCTGTCACTCAGGGCGTGCTCTCTACCACTGCTAGCGCTCAGATACCCACAGAGGCCTTCCAAAACCCTCCCGGACCTTCAACAGGATGCTTACGGACAACAAGCTTGTGCTGACTCCAAAGCCTGCATTTGCTGAACCTGGCAA